CATACATATTATATATCAGAACTAGGACTAGGACATCAAGTACTAAGACTATTTATCTATGGCTAAAACCCACCAGAGCCTGTCAACATTCCTACACATGTGATTGACTTGGATTTTATACATTCCTCCCCAACCGCCAATCAGTATTCATATGTCCGCCACATTACCCACAAATCATTTTATCTTCAACTTCCAAATCGGTGTATATCAGGTAGGCGCTTATTGCTTCCAGTTTGGTGTGCCTGTAAGCAGGGATTTCTCCCTTAATCCCTACTTAGCGTACTTCTAGGAGTTCGTATCTCAAGCCATGCAGCTGCCTCTACCTGAACAGGTAAATATCTCAAGCCTGCATGCTGCCGTAACTAGCTGGTTTCCTGCAACTTTCAGGACCCAGGTCTTAACATATCTGATAAGGTCTGTGCTAACGACTGTACTTCCCAATATGATGACAAGGGTGCTCAGACATGTTTCGCAAATGCTTCCAGTAGTCAGTATAGTTGAATGGCATCATGAGGCTCAGAGTAAAAATAAATAAAATAAAATAAATAAAATAAAATAAAAAAATAAAAAAATTATTGTTTAAAAAAATATTAAAAAACTAAAAAATTAAAAATTAGAAACATGAACCTAGACAATGACTGGGTTTTAAGAGTTAATATAATTTAAGCCTAAGAGTTAATATTATTAAAATTTAAGAATTTGCAAAAAATTAAAAATTTAAACCTAGACAATGACTGGGTTCTAAGAGTTAATATAATATAAACCTAAAAGTTAATATCATTGAGATCTAAGAATTTAAAATCTTGAACCCGGTAATAACTGGGTTTTAAAAGTTAATATAATTTAAATTTAAAAACTAATATTGTTAAGGCTTAAGAATTAGTAAAAAATTAGAAACTCAAACCCAGGCAATAACTATGTCTTAAGAGCTAATAATGTTAAAGCCTAAGAGTTAATAATGTTAATGCCTAAGAATTAGCAAAAAATTAGAAACTCAAAACTGGGTCATAAGACTAATAATGTTAAAGCCTAAGAGTTAACAATGTTGAGGCCTAAGAATTAGCAAAAAATTAGAAACTCAAACTCAAAGCAATGCTTGGGTCTAAGGCTAAAATAATTTAGATCTAAGAATTAGCAAAATATTAGAATCTCAAACTTGAGCAACGACAAGGTTCTAAAATCTAATAATGTTAAGGTCTAAGAATTAGCAAAAAATTAGAAACTCAAACCCAGTCAAGGACCGGGTCTTAAGAGCTAATACTATAATGTTGATATCTAAGAATTAGCAGAACATTAAAAACTCAAACTTCAGCAATGACCAGGTCCTAAGAGCTAATAATGTTAAGGCAAGAATTAATAACATTGAGGCCTAAGAATTAGCAAAAAATTAGGAGCTCGAACCCAGTCAAGGACTGGGTCTTAAGAGCTAGTCTCCACTATAATATTTAGCATTTGGTGTCACTAATTAAATTTGTTGACGTTTTCCGCATATTTCATTGGTCCGTATTACCTTTAATAAAAATTTTATAGACTTTATATTAAAAAGATGGGTTTCAAAAAAAAAATTTTTTTCTTTACTAAGTAAACCTCTTTTCAAAATCTAAGTAAAGTTGTAGAGAAGGTTCTTGTGGTCAAAATGGCAGTTAGAACGTTAAAATCAGCCTAGTGGTTCTTGAGATATCTTAGGCTAAAGGTGTGAACATAAGGATCGGCAAAGACACTGTTACACAAAATGTATTTACTATTGTCTTTAGAATTATCTTTGGAATTTGGAGTTTATCTTTTTTCTTTACTATGTAAACCTCTTTTCGAGATCTAAGTAAAGTTGTAGAGGAGTGTCTTCTTCGCGACTATACATTTTCTTCTTTATTTATATAAAGAAGAGACATATAGTTGCGAAGATGAAGAGGCTTATATTTTGTGATCCACCAGGCCGAATTTAACAGTTTTACTGCCATTTTGATCGCAAGACACTCCTATACAACTTTACTTAGACCTTGAAAAGAGGTTTATATAGTAAAGAAAACCATTTTTCAAAAACAATAAAAAGTATACTGTATATAACGCGCAGAGGTTTACTTAGAATTTCGGCCAAAATTAAGCTTAATTTAGGCTGAAATTCGAAATTATACCATTCGGGTTCTTTTGAACCCAATTTGGGTTCTTTTTAACCCAATTCGGGTTCGTTTAGACCCAACTCGGGTTCGTTGGAACCCAATTCAATTTTGTTCGAACTTAATTCGGGTTTGTTGGAACCCGATCCGGGTTTGTTGGAACCCAATCCGGGTTCGTTGGAACCCAATTCGAGTTCATTTGAACCCAATTAGGGTTCGTTTGAACCCAATTCGGGTTCTTTGACCCCAATTCAGGTTTATTTGAACCACTCTGGGTTCATTTGAACCCACATCAGGTTAATTTGAACCACTTCGGGTTCATTTGAACCCACGTCAGGTTAATTTGAACTCATTTTGGGTTCATTTGACCTATGTTGGGTTTATTTGAACCCACTTTGGCTTCATTTGAATCTAAATTAGACTTAATTACAAAAAAACTCAAACTCAGGCAATGCTAAGTTTTAAAAGCTAGGCCTAAGAATTAGCAAAAAATTAGAAACTCGAACCCGAGGCAACGCCCGGGTCTTAAAAACTAGTTATATATATAGTTAAGAAATTGCGCATTTCTTGTAATTATATAATGAAAGTTATTTCTATGAAATTTGGTGAATCGGCATTTTAGCACTAAATTTTAAATTTTAGTCTCAGCGTCAATGGTTTAAAACATCTAAAAAATTGTTTAAACTGTTTTTTTTTTATCCCTAATTCTAAGTAGCCAAAATGAATAAAATCCTTCGATGTATTTCTTTAGGTTTTATCTGTGTGATTCCTCCTTTATAATAAAGCTATCTGAGTGATTATTTGATTATATCGTATCTTTAAATTCTTATGTTTGATTTATATTGTATTATTTTGCTCTGTTGGATTATGCGCATACATATGTTATATTAATTGTTATACATAAGTATTAGATCCTAAATTTACATACTCACATATACATATTTAACACATCCTTGATTATATCGATTACTATCTTGAATTAAACCGGCCCATTCATTTTCCAAGCTCACCCATTTCGATAGCAACACTGTACTGTATAAAGCAACTACATATGTGCATATATTTATTTATATTTATACTATAGTTAATCCGATAATGAATCAGCTATTTCTAAGAAAAAGTCGGCATATGGTGAGCGGAGTGTTCAGCTATTTTTAGCATCTAAAAATAGCAACTAGCGATATTACGAAGGCAACCACACTTAATTCGATAACATTTGGATTGTTTTTTTTTTTATTATATAAACATGCAAAATTAAAGTAAAACAAATCCAGTTGAATTTGGATATGTGGATGCTAGAAATAGTTAAACTTTGATGATGAGTCTTATTTTAGAATAGTTTTCGATTCAGATTGTTGAACAAGTAAAAAAAAAAAAAAAAAGCAAATAAATAATAAACTTAATTATCTGTACAATCTGTACTCACTATTATTTTGAATTTTCTTAATTAGTTTGATTTTTTTAAAAAAAAAAAAGCATTCATGTGCCATACCGAAAATTAATTACCCGACAAAGAAATTTATAACCCGAGAAATTAGATAATTTCCGAAATAGCAGTATTGGTACATAAATAAATAATTACACGAATAATATATTTCCGGGTAACCAGAACATTAAAACTACCCCAAATATTTGGAATAACACGGGTATACATGATGCTTTTGAGATCTATCTAAAATTTTTTTTATGAAATGATATACAGTGCATATCAGCCCAAAAACTTTTTTAGTATACTATTAAATGATTTTCGGTTCGCGCCAAATCCAATAAAGTATATGCATTATAGATTTATAGATTACTTTTAAAAAACAATAACAATTGTAACCAAGTTCACGTATTAAAGTAAGATCGATATTTCATATTATATCTGATATAAAATTTTTTTTTATTTATTATAAAAAAAGTATATAAGCGATGTTTTCTTTTCAGAAAAAAAAATTTTTTAATTGTTTTATAAGAAAAAAAAAATGTCTGTATTTTAAGTGTTTTTAATTTTTCTACACGACATCCGTGTACTCATGTAATGAAAATAGCTATATAAATAGCAATATTCAAATGTTTTTAAATCTTTACATGTAAATATACATGTAAATACATTATTAAGAAAAAAAAATCTTACTAAAAAGGATGAATTATAATTAACAAGAAAACGTTTGATTCCTTGCTTTTTTTTTTGTTTTCGGTAATTGATGATTTTTAAGAATTATTTTAAAGGATAATTTTGCTTTTGGTTGGTTGGTATTTTGAGAAAAAAAAGTTCCTCAAAAAAATAATAAAAAAAAAGAGTTCATAAAGAATGAGTAATGTTAATTAATACTACGTATTCACCTATATAAAAAAAAAGACAAAATCAAAAAGAAAACTCATAATAATAATAATAATAATAATAATAATGTTAATAATGTTAATAATGTTAATAATGTTAAAATAAGTATAAAACAAATGTACATTTTAAAACCCTCATTGCATTGCACTGCACAATTCAGCAATTAGCAAACCATCACGCCTTAAAAACGCATCAGATTTTTTGAGCATAAAATCTACAATGTCTAAAATTTGCTTTGAACTCATTACACTCATCAACAAATCCTTTTACCAAATCGTCATAAACAAATTTTTCGCTTTTTTCTCCAATAATGCCCTCAGATTCTATTACATCACTAAGAGTATCACGTAATGTGTATAAAGTAGAGCAAAAATCTTGACATATGCCTTCACCGACACGACCAGCCCAAGTTCCTACTGGGCATAATCTTTCTTCACATGCAAAATTAGTTAATGATTGGTGAGTTGATAAAAGAGTCATAATTTTTGAACAAATTTTTGGATTTATGGATTTTGATAATAATATTGAACGAACTGTGAAATATAATAGAATAAAAATGAAAAAAAATAAATCAATTAATCAATTTCAAAAATAAAAAATAGACGATACAAAAACAACATATTTTTTAATAACATACAAGCATTCATTAAAATTTTTCCACAATCGCCTTCTGGATTAAGTACCATATCACCTTCCATAATTTCAATGTATCCACCTGGTTTAAGAACTCTACATAATTCTTGGATAACTTTATTTTGCCAATCATCTTCAGTGAATGCAGTTAATAAGAATCTCATATATACAAAGTCGAAATGATTATCAGGAAATGGTAAACCCTCTAATATGTTTGCATTATGAAATGTTAGATTGCAAGGTTTTATTTCAGAAGGATAGATTGGAGATATGTCTACGCCAGTAAATGAAACTCTTGGATAATCAGTCTATTAAAAAAAATTTTTTTTTTATTGTTAAGTACTGTATAAAGATAATTAAATAATTAAATATTGAATAATAGAACGTGATGCTTACCGCCATATTTAAAAGCCAAGTGCCAGGACCGCAACTAATTTGTGAAAATAGAAATACAAGGTAATAAAAATAGGTTAGAAAAGAAAAAGTAAAATAAATTTTTTTTAAAAAAAGAATTTTATATATTTATTTACCCGACATCTAGGACTTTAGCACCACCCCGATCTAGTAAGTCACTAACAGGAGATGAATAATTGCCTTGCCATATGTAACAGAAAAGGAAATGTTGGATTTGAAGTCTGTCAACTATTTTACAAAAATAACCATTAAATTATTAATAATATTTTTAATATTTTATACTTAAATGAACATGCATTTATCAAAGAAGTCAATGCATACCTTCTTCATCATCATTTGGTAAAAAGTATTTAGAGTTTTCATCATTATGAAACCTTCGTCCATTAGCATATTTAAAAATTTCTTTTTTCGTGCTTAGGTCAAATGAGACCTTTTTAAAATTACTTTTATAATTATTATTCGATTTAGAATTTGAAAGACCCATTGGATTTAATCTTGTGAGTTCTATTAAGCACGTATTTTGTTACTGAAAAAGTTGTGATAAGTATTATGAAAAAAAATGATGTGATGATGATAATCGTAAATTAGTGGTAATTAGTGGTAAATTAGTGGTAAATTAGTGGTAAAGGACTAAAGGTAATGATTGTATCGAGAATCGAGAAAGAAAGATTAAAGGAAAGAATGAGATAAAGTTTTTTATAAAATAATTCGATGGTTCGCGAAAGAATAAAAGAAAAGCTAATAGTTTAAACCACGAACAAAAGTCATAGAAAATTATTTTTTTTTAAAAAAAAAAAATGACGATTTTTTGAAAATGACGGAATCTTTGGCGAAGGACTTATATTTGTTTTTTTTTGTTTGTTTTTTTTTTTTTTTTTGAATGGTTATTTTACATGATCTCCGGATTTAATAATTTTGAGTAAACCATGCATTGATTTTACTCTTACATAATCTCGGATTTACTTGTTTTTATGAGTTTGGATCCGTTCCTTTGTTATTTGTTCTTTACAGTTACAGTTACAGTAAACGGGTAATATAATATTTTATTAAAGTTGGTTACATGCGTGTATGTCAATAAATTAGAATTATGTCGTGATTAGTGTTGAGAAACAATGGGGTAAACTAAATATGCGCTGTAAATAAATAAACTAAACTAATAAACTAAACCAAATAAACAAAGGAGTAGTAAACATTTTTTTGATTAAGATTTTTCAAGGGGCTCATTATTCTTGGAAATTTAGCGTTCACAAGAATCCTTTCAAATTTTCCGTATATTGCAAATAACAACCAAAAGGCTTAAATTGATCAAATTTTAAAACGGTCTCTGCGTAATATTTGCAATATTTGTTTATTTACTCTCGTTGACGCCTCCGATATTTTTTGTGATCAATATAATACTATGCTAGTAATTAGCCAAAGATTGACTTGTGACTGACTTGTCTGTAAAGAATACATGGATAAATTTTTTGATTTATTTTCCATAACAACTAAAAACGAAAGGGTCAATCTTGATGTATGCCAGACAAATGTTATTGCATGAATCTCACCCAATCAAATCCAGCTTAGATGCAATTTCGCCCACCTACAAAAAAATGCCGAGCATAATATTATATATATATTATATATATTATAAATGTATATTATATATTATATATATATATTATATATATGCGTTATTTTAAATTTGATGTTACTGTATTTTTAATTTATTTTTATTTTGTATACACTTCCTGCCAAAAAGTGTTCGTTCATCTTAACTAAAATAATCACAATAATGATTTAATATAAAAAAAATGGATAAGTTGCGTAAATCTTAAATTTTTATAGGAAAAATTAAAACTTGTGACCTTAACTATAACTGATAATTGATAATAAATTAAAAGTAGAGCGAATATTTTATAAAGTATAAAATTTTGTAATATATAATATATAAAAACTTATTATAAAATATTTATAATGTTTAATAATAATATTTAATAATATTTAATAGTATGCATCAATTATAAAAAAAGTCATTTTTAATCTGACATTCTTTGATTTTAACGAATAATTAATTTGCAGAATGTAATAAAAAAAATAATCGGGATGTAAATAAATTAAACCCTGCATTAAATCAAGTGACCAGATGGCAATTAGTAACAAACAATACGTAGAAATATTAATTTGTGGATCTTAACCTTTTATCATAAAAAAGAGATGATGTTCCGTCAAAATATTTGACATGCGATGGTTCATATCTTGATATCTATTTGTACTTACTGTACGTACTGTACGTACTGTACGTATGTGCTTATATGCACTACCGATCCTCTTTTAAAACGTTATTGCCTATTTTTTTGGACCTCCTATTAAATATTCGAAAACGTCATTTGAAAATATTTAGAAATATCAATATATATATAAAAATATATATATATAATATATATATATAATATATATATATATTTAAACCAGTAATAAAGATTGTAACATAGGCTCTAAACTTTCTTGAGCCACATTTCTACCTTTATACAAATTATTCGTTTTCGTTCAGTAACTATTAATAGCGTGCGTTTGCCTGTTTGAATTTATAAACAAACATTTAATTTAGGCTTTTATGGTTAACAGTGATCGGTCAAAGTATTCCTTGTATAAACGTTAAAAACATAGGAAGAACTTCGTGCCTGGCATAATTACCAGAACATATGGCTTATTTGTTTATAATAAGTAAGTACGTATGCAAATTATGTATGTAACATTAACACCACTTAAAAAGCTTTTAATATAAAAATTTAACTGGTATCCAATCAAAAATCGCGGAATAACCCCCTCACTAATTTTACCGTTCCTATTATAATTTAGAAAATATTACTATTCATTCCCTGTTATAAAGTTTTCCGCTAATCTTATGATGCATAGATAATGTATAAAATGAATATCTTGATTATGTTATATTATGTTATATTATGTTGTATTATGTTATATTATGTTGTATTATGTTATATTATGTTGTATTATGTTATATTATGTCATGTAACGTAAATTGTTCCAAATTCTCAAAAACTAATGTATGCATTTAATACATTAGATTCATATCTCAATAGTCTAGATACCACTTACCAATAATTTGTAATTTTCTTCTACCTGTTTAATCATGTTCTGTTTTGATTAGTTACTTTCTTGTGCTTTTAAAACTAATTTTTATTAGTAAATCGGGGAATTTGGTTTTTTTTTTTTTTTTCTCCCTCCCCATAACAATATGGAGATTGTTTAAAGCCTATATATATTTGGGGAACCAGTAAAAATTTTTATCTAAACTTAAAATGGGTAAAAATCATCCGATATTCACTTCTTCATCTCAGGTCTAGTCCGTTCTTTAATTTCTCAATCTTTATGTTTACATGTGAATGGCGTTTTTTTTTCAGATAACTCTTGTTTTTTTAAAAAATAGAAAATTCTGTTTACTCTCAAAAATTATAATTGTATTACCTTTTTTTTTTTTTTTATTCTGAATAAAAAAAAAAACAAACAGATTTATAAAGTTTTAAGAGTATAAATCATATTGACACATGCATATTTAACGAGTGCAAAATTTTCGATAAATTTCTGTCCGACTATAATACGTAGTGACATGGAAAGTTATCTATTATCTGTTATGGTATGTACATACGTACGTACATAACAGATAACTGATAAGATAAGTACGTACGTACGTATGCACTTATTGTATGCGTATACTGTGCTGTGCATTTTTCGATGCACAGTACGTATATATTAAATGTACAAAAATTATTCGATTTACGTGCACATATATGATTTATATCTACATTCAGTACAACAATAAGGTCAAAAGTGTTTGAAGTTTTTATTCTACGTTTAAACTATCAATTAGATTCAATAAATGTTATTTTACGTTTTCATTTTTTTTTAATGGTTTTTCCTAAAAGTTATTAAAGTGGGTAATTGCATTTCTATAATCCTACCAGTTTTTCCTAATGGTATTTTAAATTACACTTTTATATTCCTAACAGTTTTTCCTAATAATATATTAAAATATTTCTATAGTTTCGGGTTGAATTTAATGTAGCGATATTAATGATACACATTTGTAGTCTTTATTTATTTATTTATTTACGTATTTATTTATTTATTTATATTTTTACGATGATGCATCTCATTGATAAATTAATCTGATCATCCTTTTCCTAAAAATGATATTTTTACAAGTCCGATTTTTCAAGTCTTTTTTCAAGTCTTTTTTCAAAAAAAAAAATGAAAAGAAAATTTAAGGTCTAAACCTGCTTTTTTATAAATCAAAAAAAAAAAAAAAATTAGACATCATACATGATCATTTTTGAACCAGCTGGTTTGAATCCAAACTCATTGCAAACCTTACATTTTGACAATTAATTTTGCATTCGTCTTTTAGACCCGTACATCTATTTATGTACGCCAAATAGACAATTATATGAAACTTCTAATTAATTAGGAAGGATGGCTCTGCTTGTTTATTATTAATCATGGCGAAAAAATACCTTTTCCCGCAGAATATCTATCGACAGTTTCTTGGATACAGCTGAGACAATGCAAATTCACATGACATTCTATTTACCCAAAACTACTAACTAAATACTTAAGTGAATTCTCTTAGTCCGTAGATTTTGAGCACGTGACTGACCTACTGATTAATAAAAAAATTTTAATTATTCTTTCTAAAATCTCAATCGAATTAATTGCTTTTTAATTATATATAATTGTATAAGAATGTTTAATATTCTTAATTATTAAAATACTACTAAATATTGATGTGTTATTATTATTCCTAATATTTTTTAATTTTTTATTTTAAATTAATAAAAATTAAAGCATATCTTAAAGAATTTAAAAAAATTTTGCCTAAATAACTAAAATAATTAATAGCAATAATAAAAATAAGTTATTTAAAATGATAAATAAGTGTTAATTTTAAAAAAATAAAAAAAATAAAAAAATTTATATAAATAAATAAAGTTAAAAAAATTAATTGATTTGCAACCATAATTAAGATTAGATATAACATAATTATTAATCCAATTTTTTTTTATAAAAAAAACTTTGCAATTAAGATTAATGGATTGGATTTAGAGTTTTATACTAAATCTAGTACGTTTTTAAAAACTCATAAAAAATCAAAAAAAATATATAGCTTAATTTTTTTTTGTATACAAAAATCTGATAAATATTCAAAAATTATTTGGTATAATTTTTTTTTATATTAATAATAAAATTATTAAAATATAATTTTTTATAACAAGTATTTTTTGTCAAATTTCAGTATACTAGTTTTAGTATATCTTTAAACTTAATTATAACTGTAATATATTAATAAATTTTGTAAATTAAATATTTAATTACATAAAACAAATCTATAACTTATTATAATCAAAAAATTTTGATTTGTTATATTATAATACTTATTACTTGTATTATAAATATATTTTAAAAATTATTGCAATTTATTACTCT